TGTTTGTGGTTGTAATGTGACAAAATATGGAAAAGTTCAAGGGGTATGAATACTTTTGCAAACCACTGTATATGGTGACAGCATCAGCACTAATGCGAAAGCTAACAGGCTAAGTTAAGTTAATAGCTAATTTAGATTGTTTGGTGAGCAATTGGACCAGATTTTGTGTTTTAGAGTTATTAGCACTGCAGGGAAGGCAATAATTTATCACTGCATCAGTTAAAATAGCATAGACAGTTCCAAAGTGCATTGATATCACCAAACTCAGCACCTTGCTTGGTCATTGCTGCAGGCTGTAGTTTACTTGTCTTTCAGCTGAGTTTACTGGATCATTGACCAGATACATCACAAACTGACAGATGAACATTAAGAACAAAAAGTTGAATAAAGTTCCACAGCAACAGAGACACAGCGAGACAGCGAGTGAGTAATAACATTTCAGAGATTTGTGATATTTAGTGTGTTTGGATTTTATAGTTAGGGTGTAGTTTAGTGTGTTTACTTTAATAAGTCTTAGTCTGTTTAAGTCAAAATAAAGCAACTTTTTTTAATGTGAAGCTGCTGCTTCTATTTGCGATGGGAACGCAGACACAGATATGGGCAGAGTCAAAGAGTCAGAACCTCTCAGACAAGAGAAGCTCAAAGGTAGAAATGAAAGAAAATAAACTGAATCTGAGTCAGAGTGAGGACTTGGACAATTATTTGTTTTAGAAAAGGAAAGAGAAGAAGAGCGCACCGGGTGCCACTTGGAAGTGTGCGCAGGGTGAGACAACAGAAAGCACCAGCTCTGAGCTCTGGAGAACTGAGGATGGTGTTTATGTTTCCACAGAGGATAACATGTTCAGCTGTGGAGAACACCAGGGGTCCAGTTAGACACACTTTCACCTCAGAGTCCAAAATATCTTTTTTATTATTTTTTGCCACTGACAGAGTCAGGACAATCTGCAGCAATACCAACAAGAATACAGCAAAAAATAAATGATGAGGGGAAAATATACAAAAAGACTGGCACAGATCTATATCATACTATTTCTAGCAGACTAACAATTTTGGATAGTCACATATAAGTTTGACACTAAGATCATCTTATGTTGAGAAATGATGACATTATAGCTTGATTTGGTCAAACCTTAAAGGGGACCTGATATGCAAAATTCACTCTTTGACGGGTTATTTTTTACTCAACTTTGGGTATGTACTTCGTAAAAAACAGTCCTAGGGCCAGAAAATGCACCCAGGGGTATATTTACTCTATGTAAATGTATTTTTCATGTATATTAATGTCAAGTTTTCAAATCCCACGGCTTGTGATGTCACAGGCCGCACTCTAGCCCACCCCAACCTGGGCCCAGCTCATTTCCTCGTAACCCAAGCAGAGACTCCACCCACTTCTTCACAGGATGGTTCTGCTGCTTCACAGTCATGAAGGACAGAGATGTGTGGATTAATTTTATTTTTATTTAATTTTGTTTTTATTTTGATGGCAATGTTCTAGCAATATTACAGCATACATTAAACAACCATCTTCCAACCTCTTCTGCTGCTAGAAAAAAGTTTTGAACTTTATCCGCTCTCCTTTCCTCCTGCTTCGCAGCAGGTGCTCATGTCCACAGCTGACAGAACACCCCCTACCCCCGTGGGTGAAAGTTATACTGAGTTTTTGCAAAACTTATGGATTTTTGAGGCTTTTTATACAGGTACACGTCCGAAGAGGTTGGCATGTATGTTGAAGAAAGTTTGTGTAAATAAACTCACCATGAACTACTTTGGAAAAATCTACTTTCAATTGAAAAGAAACTGAAAGTAAACTTCTGGCGGGGGCGGAGTTAACATAAACAAAAGGTTGGGAGGGGGTTTCCATAGCAACTTATGCAAAGCAGCAGGTTCTGAATAGAGCTGAAGAACTGGCAGATCTGACATGGTGAAATTTCATTATCTGAAATTAAATTTGTGAATTAAATGAAATGAACATGTTTTGTAGAGCCCACAGATGGATCCTAACTTGTTCTAGGACCCCCATATTAGGTCTCCTTTAACAATAATATTATGCACAATTTCATGCACTATGGCAAGAGTTCAGGCTTAGAGTTTATTTTGTGAATGACTGATCTACTACTACTACAACAAATTTTAACTCAATATCAATAAAACTGACTTGTCATTTTCTGTTCACTAAAATTGATTAGATATTACAGCCATCTTGATATGAAGTGACTCCAAAAGTTAAGCAGAAATGTGTAGTCAGTGAATTCTGAACGTTCCTTTAAAATCTGTTAAGTAATTCGTAAGATACTGTGTGTACAAACAGGGTTGACTCCAACAATAGCACTTGGAGTTTGTATTCTGAATGACTCACAGCTGCTACTACTACACCAAGTATAAGCACACTGCTCATAAACTGACTGAATCATTTTTGCATTTGCTACAGATAGTTGGTTGTGGCAAAACATACAATTATAAATGTACATTCAATAATTAGCTACTTTCTAAAAACTAGAAAATAAACATCTCCCAACCCACTCTGCCACTAGAAATAAGTTCTCCACTTCTCCCTGTCCTCCTTCTCTGCTCTTCTGTTATCGCCACGGTTGACAGTCCACTTGGAATTTTTGTGAAAATTACAGATTTTTGAGGGTCATGATAGTGTAAACACCTGAAGGGTTTGACATTTACACAAGTGCAAAACCATTATTGTTTGCCTTCACCTTTTGGCATTGGGCAATACAAAGAGTCAAACAGCTGGCATGGGACCTGAGCAATGCATCCTTCTTCACTTAATTATAAACTCTATGAGAACATAATTCTTTTTGAGAATCACCATGTTGAAGCAAAAACCCTATTTTCTGTCTGTCAAACTGTATATCATAGGTATTTCTCATAGATTAAACTAAAGAAATGAGATCAATATAGTATCTGTTTCAGACTGCTTTTGCATCAAAACAGCACTGAATCCTGCTTGAATAATTTGTAAATCAGGGTTAAGCATCTGACAGACAAAAAAGCTACATTCCTTTAAAAATGGTCAGGCAGAAGAACGGGACAGAAAATCAGTGAAAAGTCAGCCAAAGCCCAAAGGAAATTTGTTTAGATTAAAATTTCCAATGAAATTTAAATGTTGTGATTATCAGAAAGGGTCACAGTGCACCAGAGTGATACCTTTGAAGTCAGAATTTCAACTAATGTTATGTGAAAGTGCTCATCCATGAAGATAATGTACATTAAATTCAAGAGTGTTTAAAGATTATGTTTATGATGTATAGAGACAAAGATTACAAAGAACATTCAAAGCATGAGTTTATGTAAAAAGCTTTAAAAGGGGTTGTATGAAAACAACAGATTTTGCCAAATATATTGAGAGGGAGTTCTGCTGCAGCTTTAAAGCACATACACTAAACCTCAGAAATACAACATACATTCTGGTGTAGTTTGACTGGTTTCTCTATAATGCTGTGGGATAACAATGAAAGCATGGCAATTGGATATATTTGGTTTGGAGGAGAGACAGACAATAAAAGAAGATGAGTCCCAAGGAGGACAAAACTGACAGAGAAGAGTGGATGAAAACAGGCACATAAGACTGAGCCGCACTGAAATCAGGGAGAAGAAAGTAGAAAAGAGGACAGAGAAGCAGAGAGGAAAACTTACGGAGGCAGATGTTCTCTGTAAAAAACTCTGTGAACTTGTCACACTCGTCTTTGTTGTTGCCACAGTTACTGCAGTCACAGTAAGGGGAGACACTGATTTTGGGTGAGCGCAGGTAGTTTGGAGTCATTACAGTACCTGTGAATACAAATGATAGGCAAATATAATGATATAATAAATGATTCATTCATGTGTGGGAAATGTGATCATAAAGCAAGGCTGTACTGCAATCTGTTGGAGCATATTGTGCCACTTATTGTCAACAAAAAATATCTTAAACTCTCTAAAAATCACCCTCATCATGTATTAAATGATAAATGCATTAAAAAAAAGGGTAATCACTGGCACATTTTTCTCTGTTCATGTTGTGAAGTAGCACAGTGAGGCAACAGAATGCAGAGAAGGTGGAGTAAAAAAATTAATTCTCTCTCTCTGTGTGTGTGTGTGTGTGTGTGTGTGTGTGTGTGTGTGTGTGTGTGTGTGTGTGTGTGTGTGTGTGTGTGTGTGTGTGTGTGTGTGTGTGTGTGTGTGTGTGTGTGTGTGAGGAAAAGCAAATTGCTTCAGTCAGTGATTTCTCACTCTCCCAATGGACTTTTCCCTTGAGTTGGCTGCTCTCCAAAATTGGTCTTTTTTGTTTTGCAGTAGGCAGAATAAATTGGTGCTGTGTGGACAGTTAGTGTTTGATTGGTCTGTTTGGTGACTTGTGAGGACCAAGAGAAACACAAGGATAGATTAGATTGCTCTCACTTGTTTTTCATGTCAAAGTTTCAACTTAGAGACTTTGAAAGGCACAAATGAATTGGGCACATTGTTGTTTCAAACAAACCTTGACTCATAAATAATCCACCCAATTCATTATCAAATGAACATGTAAACGTAAACATGTCAACATTTTACATGTAGACTTACCAATCAGACCCGAGTATGAGAGAAGACAGTCGGCATAGTTCTCCTTCAGGCATCCTGACAGTGAACGAGGATCTGGCATGCAGTTAACGAAGAAGTCAGCCAGTCGGGACCTAGAACACACACATGCATGGAAAAAAAGCCGTACATGAAATACATGAGATAATCACATGGTCAATGTGACTGTACATGGGAGAGGAGTGAGATTATTCTGTGTATAAATTTAACTGCATCTCATGCAGTTTAAAGCTTGTAACTAGGTAGTACGTACTGTGCGTAGCTTGAGACTATCTCTTGAGTAATTTTTTTATTGTAATTTCACTTTTTATTTATATTTTCCCTTTTATTTTGATCAAAAATGTGGACAGAATAAATTAAGAAATGTTTTGTGTCAAAACATTCTGTATGTACATCTGTGGGGGTGGGTGCACATACGTTCTAGCTTAGCTTAGCTTGCTTTTATTTTTCCAAAATGTGTCACAAAATGAAGACTTTGAAATAGTTAAATCTTGTTGAAAATTTTATAAAACTAGAAGCACTCAGAGAGTGCAAACATCTGCCAAGACCAATTTCCTCCATCGTGTAATAGAGTAAATTTGCAAAAGCGGAGATAGAAATACATTTGCCGAATAAGTTCTGACGTAGCGAACATTTAAGCAGGCAGTATGCACGGGATTTCTTCCCTGTGGAGTCCAATGAGAAAAAGCAAAAGTCAGACTCGTCACCCGACATTATTCATGGTCAAACTGGTCTCGGATTAAGCTCCTAAGTCAGGGCTATTCAACTAAACTGCTCCAGGGGCCACAGTTACTGCAGGTCAACAGCTTAGAGGCTGGACATCCAGTAATTTAAGTTATTATGTAAATAAAGCAAGTATTACAAAGATCTGTTACCTTAATAGTTTATTTTGCTTCATTTAATCATGATTACAACATTCAGAACCCTATAAAAGTAGTGATGAATAAACAATATCAAAAACAAAAAGAACACATTATACCCCCTATTTGACACAAATATTATTTTGACATCTCTGACTTGCCAAATTTTTAAAGCATCTTTGTTTTCACTTTGGTAGTTTTATCTTCAACTGCTTTTCATTTTAACTGTCTTAAGTGTGCATAGAAATGTTATTTTCCCAGCTTGTAGCCAAGATTCTGAGGGTCCTGTAGATACCAAACGTGTGTGTCTAACTAAAAGAACTTAAAGCAATGAAAGTAGAAAACTGGTGGTTTGAGCTTAAGAGATGAATTAACCAATTCATCAGCCCGCGGGCCGCCAGTTCAATAGCCCTGTCCTAAGTTTTCATCAGTCACATTCCACTGTGTAAAACATCTGTTTTATCCCATTTTTTGACTTGTAATGGTTTGACTCTCTTTATGAAGTGCTTGCTGGTACAGTCGGCTCATGAAGGGTTTATTTTTTTTTGTTTTTTTGTTTTTTGAAGTGAGAAGCAAAACACTGCGTGTGAGCGCTTTCAGCAATTAAAACATTACCTCCTCCCCCTTGGTGCACACATTCACACACTGTCTGGTCTAAGAAGTAACCTACTAGCTTCCAAAATTCCGAAATGAATCTGTTCTCCTCCCGTGTCCAAATTTTGAGGGCCGGCCAGAAGCTCTCGGCAAGCCTAGTACCGATAAACTGTTTTGATTGGTTGTTTGGGAAATGTGGTGTGAGGTGCAGGCAGGATAAACCCAGGGCGCAGGCAGAAATCCAAAGTTTAACAAAAGATTTATTAATAAAATAAAAAGGCTGGCAGGGCAGCTCAAAAACTCTCAGGAGAACAGGAACACAGAGAACACCACACTGGCTGTGTAAACAGCACAATGAACAGACACAGACTGTGAGGACCAAATACCACATTTAAAGGGAAACTAACGAGGACAAATGAGAAACAGTTGGAGAAAACACAAKAGGGAAAACAGGTGAGCGTGGGCGGGGCTTCAGGGCAAAGAAACACAGGGGAACACTGAAACACAAAAACTTAGGAAATAAACACAGATTATGACAGGACCTCCCCCTTAACGACGGCTCCTGATGTCAAAAAAGGAGAGGCATGAGACTGGGAACACACGACAGGACAGACTCCAAGACAAAAGACGCAAGGTTCAGGAGGACGGCCCGAAGACCATCCAACTCGGGGCAGAGGATCTGGAGGGTGGCCCAGAGAACACCCCGGGTCCAAGGGAGTCGCGGGAGCAGAGAAGGAGCCAAGGGAGGAGGCGGGAGCAGAAGTGAAGCCAAGGGAGGAAGAGGGAGGCGATGAGAAGCTGGCCGAGGTTGATGGAGCAGGAGCCTTGGCGATGGCGAACACAGGCGACAGAGGTGATGAAGAGGCGACGACTGATGACCCAGGTGAAGAGGAGGCGACGGGTATTGACCCAGGCGAAGAGGAGGCGATGGGTGACGACCCAGGCGAAGAGGTGGCGATGGCGGTCAACTCTCGAACCACCAGGACCGCCGAGACCTCCGACTCAGGGACCACCGAGACCTCCGACTTCGGAACCACAGAGGCCACCAACTGTGGAACCGCCGACCGTGGGACCACCGACTCAGGAACCTCCGGGACCTCCAACTCCGGGACTACTGGGACCACCAGCTGTGGAACCACCGACCGTGGAACCACTAAAACCACCAACTCAGGAATTTCTGGGACCTCCAACTCTGGGACCACTGGGACCACCGGCTGGGGAACCACCGACTCAGGAACAAGTGGGGTGGGAGGGTGGATATCAATGCCCTCAGCCTGGACCCTCGCCGAAGACCCCGAGCGGAAGGTGAAAGGCTGGACCCCAGACGACTCAAAACGGAAGGTGGTAGGCTCAACCATTCCCCAGTGGAAAGTGGAGGAGGACAGCCCAGAAAAAGAAAAATTGCCTGCAGGCTGGGTGCTTTGTGGTCTGTTCATTCTGTGAGGTGCAGGCAAGATAAAACCAGGGTGCAGGCAAAAATCCAAAATTTAACAAAAGATTTATTAATAAAATAAAAAGGCTGGCAGGGCAGCTCAAAAACTCTCAGGAGAACAGGAACACAGAGAACACCACACTGGCTGT